GCGACGTGGACATCCGTAAGGATCTGTACGCCAACACTGTGCTGTCTGGTGGCACCACCATGTACCCTGGCATCGCTGACCGCATGCAGAAGGAGATCACCGCGCTGGCCCCGTCGACCATGAAGATCAAGATCATTGCCCCACCAGAGCGCAAGTACTCTGTCTGGATCGGTGGCTCCATCCTGGCTTCGCTGTCCACCTTCCAGCAGATGTGGATCTCCAAGCAGGAGTACGACGAGTCTGGCCCATCCATTGTGCACCGCAAGTGCTTCTAAGAAGGATCACCAGAAGGAGGAGGAGGAGGATGAGGAGCAGGATCATCAGGAGGATCTGAAGGAAGCAGCAGCGAAAGTGCAAGTGCGAGTGGTGGAAGTTTGGAGTGCAGCACAAGATCAACACCAACAATTACAAGATGAAAAGAGCGGAACCACCTGCACACCATTCATCATTATATCATCATCCTTTTTGGGCGCGTGTTGTGTGGTTCCAGCATATTAATTTAATTAATTTATTCCACTTGAGATATGATATGATATATACTATGTATTTTTTTTTTTTGTTTTTATTTGTATACCTTTAATATAACAACAAAAACTACAAACAAAATGGAAATGATCGAAAAAGCATAGTCTGCCATTCCACACACACACCAACACAACCAACACACGCACACCCACACTATCACACACACACACACTCACACTCGCGGCATGACAAGGACAACAAGATGATGATGAAGAAGATATTCCCCAAAGCGTAAAAAGAACACACACACATTGCAAAACACAAACAACACACTAGCGTTTTGTACAATTCGTCAGCAACCTTATGTATTATTTTTTAATTATGATGTAATTATAAACAAAGTGAAACAAAAATATGAAAACAAAAAGGAAAATCTAAAACTGTCTTCTCTTTCCAACTCCCCCTACTCTCTCTTTCTCTCTGGCTGCTCTCCTCGCTCTCTCTCTCCGACTCTTCTCCCACTTATCTTTGCCGGCCGGCAAATTCACCCACACACACACTTGGCTGCAGTTTCGCGTGCGATATTCACACACATTCAAGCATACAAGCATACATATGTATTTTTTTGATTTGTACACTTTTCTAATTGCATGCGTATCAAATGATAAGTTTACGCCTGAAAATGTTAATTAAAATGTGAAAATGCAACTGAAAAAAAGAAATGAAACGAAACAACAACTACAAACGAACTATTGGAATGTCAAGTGCCGTTGCAACGGTTGATTATGGGGAAGGGGGAGAAGGTCGTTGAACTGAAGCTGTGGAGATCAGCCGTTATCTCGGTCGCACGCATGCTAATAATGATGCTATTAACGCTCTGTTTTAAGTAGCCAAGCACCAAATAAAAACCAAGATAATAAGGCAAACACGCTAACACAAATCGTTGGCATAGTTTTATCAGCCAATTTGACTAAAAGAAGCGGTTCCAATCGCCGGTTATCCGGGTTTTCCCAGTTTCCATTCATGGGGCGAAAAAAAGGAGGACCCATCTTACATTGAGAAAAAGATGTTTAGTAATGATCCGTAAAAAACATAATATTTTTCTTGTCTATTCCGAAATGAATCTTACAAAACATCTTATAACTTATGAAAATGTATGTGTACATTTTTCAGAATAGTTTTTTTTATAAGTGTAGTTATGTGCTCTGCTTGATTTGGCGCTACGGTAAAAGTTATCTTACTGTGCTTTCTCCTTTAATTCTTGGGGTTCAACGGTTCCGTTTTTGTCGATCTCGTTCTCGTTCTTTCTCTAGCGGTTCTCTATAGTTTATATTTTCGCAGCGGATTTCTTGGCACCTTAAGCGTTTTAAAAGCTAGTGGGTCTTACTAGTCCAAAGTAGTCGATTTAGCAGTACCCCTCAATGAAAATCAAATTGATGTTGAAAGATGAAAATATTGAATTATCTTAATATACACATATTTCTTTATTACTAACTATTTTCTGTGTGCATATAACATAATTTAGATACAATATTTTTTTAATTTCGATTTTGATTGGTTTTTATATGGTTCTTATATAATAAAATAAAAATAAGTAGAAATTTACTTGATTTTTCCTTTAAAAGGCACCTTTAAACCACCTTGTTTATAGGGTATCGTTCTTCATAATTACAAAGTAGTCCTACCTGAATATTCAATCAGCAATGTGATCCCTTTTAGCCAAAGGTCAGCGAAGTGAGTGGCCGGATTTGAATATTCCCGCCTTGAGTCCGCCGTACTTCGCACAGAACCTCTTGGAACAGCGATACGTGCGGAGTGGTGTACGAATTTGGGAGCCCAATCTTAATCACAATGACTATACCGGAAGCTTTTAAGGATCTTGAAATCTTTGTCACAGGCGCCTCGGGTGGGTTACATTCTTATTTCGTATAATTCTTGAAATTTGCACTCTTATAAATTGACAATTTCTTATATACTATTGAATACTTGCTGGATGTTGATATTTAAAAGTTTTGAGTTTTTATCTACATTTATATTTTTTTTAGGCTTCGTGGGCAAGGCTCTGATCGAGAAACTACTGCGCTCCTGTCCGAATCTGAGTCGGATTTATGTGCTCATGAGGCCCAAAAAGGGGCACTCTATCGAGGAACGACTGCAACTTCAGTGGGAGACGAGGCTATATGAAAGATTGCGGAAGGAGCAGCCCGATGCCCGATCCAAATTGGTGGCTATAGCCGGGGATGTGGAGCAGTTGGGACTGGGCATCAGTTCTGCCGATCTGGAGCGGCTACGTAATGTCAACATCGTATACCACTCGGCGGCCAGTGTGCGGTATGTAAATAATCAAGAGATCAATCAAAAACCGTCATCACTGCAAAATAGATGTGATTTCCCCGGGATACTTTTATATTTAAGTGTATAATAAGATAGTAATACCTATAATAATACCTATAATAATACTTGCCCCGTTTAGTTTTGATGATGCTCTAAGTACCGCCATTCTTTTGAACACCCGTGGCACCCACGAACTGGTGAAGTTAGCCTTGGAGTGGCATAAACTGAAGGCCTTTGTCCATGTGTCCACCACTTATTCGAATCCGGGTGTTCTGGAAGTGGAGGAGCGGGTGTATCCACCGCTGGCCGATTGGCGTACTACCATCAAATTGGCGGAGACCTATGACGAGGAGACCCTGAACATCTTCAATCTTAAGTGAGTACTACTATTATACTCATTTTATCTAGCTGTCATATGAGATTTTCAGCATGTCAAATTGATCATCACATCATTAATTTAACTCTGTGGATAAATAAAGGATCTAATCATATATTATACCATATTCCAGATATGGCAATTTCCAGCCCAATACGTACACCTTTACCAAAAGTTTGGCCGAGCAGGTGGTGAATGCATACAGGGACAAGCTGCCTATTTTTATTTTCCGTCCGTCGATTGGTAAGCTATAGTATTTGGTAAAATCAATATTATATTAGTATATCCTTACAGTGGTCTCCACAATTGAGGAACCCATGCCCGGTTGGGCAGATAATTTTAATGGACCCACTGGACTTTTGGTGGCCTGTGGCGTGGGTATTCTGCGCTCCCAAAATTGTGATCCCAATATTGTGGCCGACTTCGTGCCCGCCGATATTGTGGCCCGTACCCTGATTACCTCGGTGTACAAATTTATCGGGGAGTCCAAATCGAAGGCTAAGGATAGTGAACTATACGTGGTGAACTGTGCCACGGCCAACATATCACCGATTACCATGGGCGAGGTGATCGAAATCGGGAAGACTTTTATCAGGAAGAATCCCTTCGAGAAGACGCTTTGGTTGCCCGGCGGCGGAATGACCACCTGTCCGGTTCTTCACTTTGTACGGGTGAGTTTTTTGGGTTTTATATGGATATTGAAATCAGCATAATATTAATTTTATATACATTTCCAGTTCTGCACCATGCATCTTCTGATGGCAGTCGTTGTGGACACATTGCTCCGTCTCTATAATGAAAAGCCTTTGTAAGTGGAAGTGTACTTAAAGGGGAAGCTTAATATATATATTTTATTTCCTTTAATTATTTTTCAGCCTCATGAAGCTGCAACGTCGAATTTTTGCAGCCTTCAGTGCTTTGCAAGTTTTCGCAATGACCGAGTGGCATTTTCAGAATAACAATTTCCGGGCATTGCACGATATAGTTCCGGCCAATGAAGTGTGAGTCCTTTTTGCTCATTAAAATTGTAAAATCTATAGACATGTTGAAATAATAATTGGTACCTTAAAGTGGAAATTATTCTTTAAAGCACCATTCACTTAGTAATTATCTAGAATTTTATATCATATAATTTTGATGGCAATATCAAGATAACCTTGTAATAAAATGCATGGTAAAAAAGATAAGTAAAATCAATAGATAGTTATTATTGTTATCTTTTTTTTTATCATGATATGTAATAATAATTAACCTACTGTTTATTTTTAGTTCTACCTTTGGCTTCATGCAGCACGCAAATATCAACTACACGGAATTTTTCCAGCACGGAATTCGGGGCGCCAAGGAGTTCCTTTTGAAGGAGAGTCCTGAAAGCAGCAGTTCCGCTCGATTCCGCGTAAAGATATTCTACGTCCTGGACTTTTTGTGCCGAGGAATCGTCTATAGCTTCCTGCTACGCCTTATATTCCGATTTTTAGTGAGCCTGTGGTAGTTAAACATTAAACACTCACTAAAATAGTTCGATTGTAATTATAATGTTTTTTTTTGAGTTAAAGAAAATATATATTCTGGCATTGGTTTAATTCTGTTCACTTTTGATGTTAAGTTCGTTTGTGATCAATTGCATTTATAATAAAATAATTAAACTCAGGAATTTGTAAAGTTATTTTTATTATTATTCGGTCATTTTTATGGTAAAATAATCCATTTGAATTTCCCACCAATCTCATTGCCGATATGGCAGCCCTGGTTGCACGCCACCTGGCGGCCCGAGTGGCATCCCTTCGGATGGCAGCACCGCGCAGGGTTGCTCTGAAATTGGCAAAAAACAAAATGGAGGCGTATAATATTTTTGTTTGGCATAGAATATAAAAAATCCGTATCCGTGTGTGCAAGAAACGCCGTAAACAAACGCCGTAAAAGCGGTCAAGACGAAGCGTGCTCGCGGTCATTGGCAAGGAATCAGGATCCGCTGCAAGGGAGCCGATTGTCGCCATATCGTTGGAAAGGCCAAAAACCCGGAGGAGTTCCGAATTTGCCACTTCTTTTTAGTTGGTTCCCCCCGGGAAACCGCTAATTGGATTGGACTGGAAAGAGTGAGAGGGAGGGAGTGGGAGAGGGAGAGGGAGAGAGATAGGTGGACCCAGAGAGGACGCCGCGATGGCCACCACCCAGCAATATTCGCTGCGGTGGAACAACTACCTGCGCCACCTCACTTACTCCTTGGACAACCACCGGCTGAACGACGACTTCGTGGATGTCAGCCTCTGCGTGGACGGGCGAAGGATCAAGGCCCACAAGGTCGTCCTCTCGTCTTGCTCGTCGTACTTCAAGGAGATCTTCAAGGAGAACCCCCATCCGCACCCAGTCATTATCTTTAAGTTCATCAAGTTTGAAGATCTCAACTCGATCATCGAGTTCATGTACCAGGTGGGCTTATAGAGAAACTCGGAATACCCTATTTGTATATATGTTTTGGCCTAGACTTATAAGATCTCTTTAAAATGATATGAGACACAATTTTTTCGAGTTTTCTCTAGGAAAGTTATGGAATATGGACTTCTGATCATAATGTGACTGAAAGAACCTACTAATTCATTGAAACAATAATTGCTTTCAACACTGAAAATAGTGTTTTATGACTTGATCATAAAATAAAAAATCCTCATCCAAAGGTCCTTGTATCATAATGCCTAATTTGGAGATTTCAACTCAATTACTCTTTCCATAAATAGGGTTTATGTCTTAATTGAACTATGGACTCAAGAGACCCCACGAGTGAACCCACTTAAATGTTTCCAACAACTTTTTATAATTTTATCAAAACTCTAAAGATATTATCATAGTTTAGCTTAGTTAGATAGTCCTATATATTTCTTATATATTTGATCATATAAAGCTTCTTATTATCTAAGTTTTACTCTTGTATCCACTTACTCATTTGCCTTCTTCTTCAGGGCGAAGTCAATGTGCAGCAGGAGGCGTTGCAGTCGTTTCTGCAGACCGCCGAACTACTGGCCGTCCAGGGACTCACCGCCGAGGAGAAGGAGAAGCCACAGCTCCCAGTGGCGCCGCTGATCAGCGAGCACAAGCTGATCAAGACCATACCGAGCACCATTCGAGCGGTCAACGAGCAGCAGCAGCAGGTGGCCAATGTGGCCCAGGCGCAGACCGCCACGCAAACCATCGAAATACCCACGGCCACGTTGCTGCAGGCAACCACCGCCAGCCAGGTGCAATCGCAGGTTGTTGCTGCCGCCGCAGCAGCGGCACAGCAACTGCAGGTCCAACAACAGCAGCAGCATCACCATGTACAAACCACCCAGATCCAGCACATCCAAGTGCAATCTGCACCGCCCCCGCAGCAGCAACAACAGCAGCAGCAACAGCAGCAATCCCAGCAGCAACAGACGACGCCCGTGCAGACGCAACACCTAACCATCACCAATGCGGTGGCCCTGCCGGCGGCCAGTTCGGTCAAGAAACGCAAGTTAACCTTCTCCGACGACGACGACAACATCTACACCACCGAAACAGTTGACTATGCCGTTAAGGATGAGCAGACCATAGTGAAAAGTAAGTCTGGAGAGGATCAGAGTAAATAGGTTACCAAGACTACCATAAAAGTGGTTTCAACAAATTTTGGGTCAAATTAGTGTCATCATAAATACATAAACGTTTCATTAAAGTAATATATAAATCGTAATATTCATGTAATTCACGTTTTTCAGCTGCCGAGATGACTTTCCTGCGCGGCGCTGTCAAGATGGACATACCTGACTACATTGTGGGCGAGGTGGATGACCGTCTGTCGGATGGAGCCACGCCACAAACGTCGCAGGACGCCACCACCGGAGCAGCCCAGAATGTGGCCCAGTATTCATCCGAGTACGAGATACTCACCGAGTCCGAAATGGAAGAGAAGTACCAGGCGGATGCGGACAACGCCGAAATAGCCATTGAAATGAGTGAGTATCAAAAGCAAATATGCTCTAAAAAATAATCTAATTAATTCGTTTTGTGCTTATATCTTAGCCCGATTGCTAAGCAACGCCAGCGGGACGGCGGGTGCGAATTCCGGCCAGGTGATGGAGGATGCGGGTGGCGGCGGCGCGTCGACGGGTCCCTCGACTACGGTGTCTGTGACGCCGGTCAAACAATCGGACAACAAGGCCAGCGGGACGAATGGTGAGTCCTCCAAAGCCATAGATTTAGGGTTAGATATCACCTTTAATGTGCTTTAGTCAAATTGTATTTAAATTTTTAATTGTCATTTATATATAGACTTTAAAAAATGTTAAACAAAAACATCTTGGTATATTTCTTACCATTTTTGCAAAACCATAAGGTACCCCCTTATGAAAAATGCAAAAAAAAGGCAAAAATATATTTTTGTTTGAGAGTGGTAGGGATTGGTAGACTAGGTCACCGCTGCTCAAAACTGTCTTTTTTTTTAGCTGTGCGCCCAATTTTGACCAACAGAACAACGCTTAAAAAGTCCTTATTTTTCTACATTTTTCACAATTTATAAACGTCAAACAATTGGAACTAAATAAATCATGCTTTTGTTTAATGTAAGGCTTCATTTATGGTATCTATTTCTTTTGTTTATTTGCTTTGACTTGGTAGATATAATAACTTTTACGTATTTTATAAGTTTATATTTAATTTATTTTAATTCCTTCTTACTTTAAGTTAAGCAAATGTTTTCAAGTGGTTGTGGATAAGCCTAGAAATCGGACACCTTTATAATTTTGTGTAAAATAATTCCCTTAATAGTTAATTGTTGATTATTTAAATAGTTTGGTTCCTTCCATATGTTCAATGTTATATTTTTGTATCTATAAGTTGTTGTGGTTGTCGAATATGTCTCCAAAAATGGTGTGTTCTAGAAAATTAGATAGATAAAAAGAGAGCAAACAAGCAATCGATCGATCGATAGAGACTGTTATATTGATTGTACGTATTTTCTGTATATTTTTAGATTCGCCCAATAATAAGTGGACAGAATGTCAGTTTTGCAAAATGGTTATAACCACGGTTAATCTTTGGAGACATATTCGCACCCAACACACCCCACAACCGCCGCGCAAGTGCGACCTGTGCAATAAGAATTTCAAGAACAAGTACAGCCTGCGGGAGCACATACGCATCTCCCACGAGCAGAAGGTGTCCATCAAGACGGAGAACTGATGCGTGTTCATTAGCCTCGGCCGTTTAAAGGCCGGATCGAAGGGACACATGGATAACGCAGAGAGATATAGTTAATTACGTCCAGCTTAGCGAGAAGCCAACCAACCAACCAGCCAGCCAACCAACCCATTCCCCCGTGTTCCCATTCAGGGCCCCCAAAAACTAGCCAAAATTGTCAACTCAAATGCAAAGCAGAAACAATTACGGAGAGTTATACTTAGCGTACATTGGGCGTCCAAATAGCCCTCGATGTTTACCTTACCCCTTATATAGTTCTATATATATAACCCTAGAATAGCGTCTAAGTCAAATCAGTCAGTCAGTCGGAGAGTGGAGCTGGTAATCCCGTCGTTGACCAAGCCATTTCATGTGTCCACGTAATTTGTACATGTACCACTTGTATTTTTAGTCCACCACTTGCTTTAGATACTTCCCTATTATAGAGATGGCAAAGTACAAGCCCTTAAAATTCATTGACACATTATGTATATATTCACAAATTCACACACCCGAAAACACAAGAATCTTTAAAGATTGAAGGGCACATAGGGTGCTTAATAGCTCAGATAGAGTGATACCATAAAAAAAAAGAACAGATTTCAAGGAATCAAGTTGATTCTATAATATTTAAGTTAAATGTTAGCCATCAAATTATCACTTTATTTTAGCTCTTAAACAGCCAAAATAGTTTTGGTGCCCAAAATGTATTACTTTCTTAAAACTCTGAAATCATTCAGTTTTGTATATAGAGCTAGGCGACTTAACATACTTATAGACACCCCCTAAACCTATGCTTAAATATCTAGAGATTTCTGTGGCAGCGCCAGAAGAGATTCTTTGCCTAATTTAAATCCCGATCAAGCTCTGTACTTTGCTCAGATAAAAGAAATACCCCCTTGTGTACAAATTTAAATACGATAATGATAAAAAAAAATCCAATTACCCAGCGCGCTTTTTGGCCATCTGTGTTCAGCATTAGAGCGTTGGCAGTTAATTGTAAATTAGCTAAATTAGTTTTAGTTTAGTTTAAGCCCCACAAATTCGATCAGACATAGTTTAGTTTTTTTGGTATAAAACTTAGTTGAGTAGCCCACACGAGCCAAGTGAAAACGGAAGTCATAGCGTGTACGCTAGGATTAGGTAAAAGTATTTTCCAAAAACAAAAAACAAAAAAATAACAAAACAAAACCTGTAGAAATCCTCTCTAAGACAAACTCAAACCCCATACACGGATACATACTAAAGATAATCTAGTTAAATGAAACAACTCATACGTATTACTTATCGATCCACATATTGATCTATGTAAACACATATAGTTAATGTTATATCTCTATATGCCCAATGTTTCGTATTGTATCAGTTTCGCCCTCGGCCGTAATAGAAGACAAACGCCCACCCACCCATTATAATCCCCATTTTTGCTTAGGATCTCAGAGAAAGGAGAATTTATCAACGAAAAGATTGGATTACGGCCGGAGTGGGATTACTGATCAGTTCGGGCACTTGGGCATCACATAGTCCGGATGGTCCAGCCTCTCAGACTATAGCGATAGTTATCGGAGATTCCAATTCCACCCCAAAAACACTAAACCTAAGCAATGTGTATGTAGATTGATTTATACACATCAACGAAATGAAACTAAATTAATCAATTTAATTCGTTTTGCTAGATACAGAAAAAAGAAAGAGACAGCTACAAAGAGAGCGAAAGAGAGAGGAAGAAAAAAAAATAAAAGAATACATGTAAACCATTCAAATGTTTCCCTTATTTCTTAGTGGGTGTTATTGAAAAATTGGGTTTTAGTCTTGTTTAAAATACATACATACCTACCTTGCCTATTTTATATTATAATTTTGTATTTAAAACAAAGCTTTCTTGAATTAGTTTCTAACTTTAGAACAACTACTCTGTCTTTCAGTCGCAATGAAACAGGAGCCGGGAACTGAACCTGACGTTCAACCAGAAGCTCCTGCAACCGCACCTGCGGCACCTACACCTGCGGCACATACACCAGGAAGTGATGAGGAAAACGCCCAGGACACCGGACTCGCTCCACTTAGCTGCAGCTTCTGCAGCAGGCACCTGAAGTCGACGAATGCCCTGCGACGACACATTGCATCCAGGCACTCGGAGATTCAGGGAAAGGAGCACGAGTGCTTCATCTGCATGAAGAGCTTCAAGACCAAGTGGTCGTTGTCCACCCACAATTCGCGATTCCATCGCGAAATGGGCTGCTCGACCAAGGGATTCACCAAGATCGAGTATTCCGACCACTGAATCGGGGATAAGGCATTAATTATGATAAACTGAGATGAGTATGCGTACAATTAGATCGTATTATATCACATATTTGTGGTATGCGAATTGAAGCCGTCTTAACCATCCGCACACGACATTTTGCCGATAACTGGTTCTCAATTAGGACAATTAGAAATCCGTTGCGCAATATTGACAAATCAAACTTTTGGGGATCAAAGTAAAGATTGTGAAAAAGTAATGATATATAGAATTGTTATGGCTGACAAGAACTTTAAATGAGATAGTAATTCATACAATACAAGAAATGAAGCAACCTTCGGCCAGTCGAATTTTATATACCCTTTTATGTTAAAAAAAACTATGAAGCTGTATCGAAAATGGACATACATGGCTATTTCTACTTCCCTGGTGATGCTGATCAAGATTGTATATACTTTATAGGGTCGGTAATGACATATTAGACTATTCTCACAGATATTTTAGGTGGGTGATACATTAAAACTAAACAAATGCAAAGATATTTAAATAAATTTATAAAATAAACTGTTCTTTAAGTGAAAAATTGTTGTAGTCCTTTAGATTGGCAATCGTTAAGCTGATCAGTTTAAGATTCTTAAATTTGTATACTTCCTAATACAACAATTCCCTATTATCTTCGTTTTAACAGACTGAATGGTTTTCAAACTGTTTTCTTACGATTTAAGCATTTCTTTTTTAACAAAAAAGCCCAATTTTAAAAGCACTTAATTTGATTTCTGGCCGACTGATTTCCATCTTTTGTTAAAAAATATCCCTAAAATTATGTACATATTAAAGATTCTGTATAAACATATATCGTAGATCCGATCCACCCAAAGTAAAACTCTATAGTTATGATACATGAAATAAAATGCGTTTAATGACTTAACTACTATTTCCACTCGCATTTTTGGGGAAACACAACCTTGGGCTTTGCAATCCAAACATTGTTTTTTCGAGAGTGCCAATAAAAAGGTAAAAAAAAAGGAGAATAACGAGATGGTGAGGAAACGGACGGCACCTACAGGTTCTTCAAGCCGGGCAATGGGAACTTCCTGCTGAATTGGGCCACAGACTTGCGGACCTCCTCCACCTGCGACTTGATATCCACATTCTCGGCCAGCGTCTTGTGGTAATCGGCCAGCTTGGGACTGCCGGCCAATTTGGCCGCCTGGGCGCCCAGTTTCAGTGCAGCATCGATGAAGGCCACCACCTGCTCAATATCCTTTTCGGCAAGACCACGAGTGGTCAGCGCAGGAGTGCCCAGCCGAATGCCCGAAGGATTCAGTGCGGACTTATCCCCGGGCACTGTGTTCTTGTTGCAGGCAATGCCCACCTCCTCCAGAATGTATTCCGCCTTGGCACCGGTCAGGCCAGCCTTGCGCACATCCACCAGGACCAAGTGGACGTCGGTGCCGCCGGTGGCCACCTGGTAGCCCTTCGAAATGAGGCCATCGCACAGGGTCTTGGCATTCTTGAGGACCTGCGACTGATAGCCCTTGAACTCTGGGGTCTTGGCCTGCTTGAAAGCGGTGGCGATTCCAGCCACGGCATTGTTGTGGGGGCCACCTTGCAGCGATGGGAACACCGCCTGGTTGATGCGCTCCTCCAGATCGTACAGCACCTTGTCTCCATTGGCCTTGGTGCTGCGCATGCCCTTGCGGAAGAAGATCACTCCAGCCCGAGGACCTCGCAGCGTCTTGTGCGTGGTGGTCGTCACAATGTCGGCGTATTCAAATGGGGACGGTATCAATCCGGCGGCCACTATTCCCGCCACATGGGCCATATCGGCCATCAAATAGGCACCCACATCATCGCAAATCTGACGGAATCGGGCGTAATCCAACAGTCGAGAGTAGCACGATATTCCGGCAATGATTATCTGCGGCCGGAACGTCTTCGCCGCCTCCGCCAACTTATCGTAGTCGATGATGCCCGTCTCCGGATTCACTTTGTACGGCATGCTCTCGAAGAAAATCGACGTAGCCGAGATTTTCTTGGTGGGCGTGAAGAAACCGTGGGTCAAATGACCACCATCGGGCAGATCCAATCCCATGATCCGGTCATGAGGACGGCATACGCCCGTATAGACTGCCAAATTGGCCGGCGATCCGGAATACGGCTGCACATTTACACCCCACTTGTCCTCCTCCAAATTGAACAGCTCGCGACCGCGTTTCTGGGCAAGAAGCTCCACACAGTCGATGAACTCGTTGCCACCGTAGTACCTGCAAATCCGAACAATAAACAGAATTAGTCCAGGATCACTTAAAATTTAGGTAAGTTAACTATTAAAATATTATAAATACGTGTGAATTTGTCGGGAATAGTAAAATCATAGTAAGATCACTTGCGGTTTATTCAAATTATATAAAATCAAAAGATTAAATATTAAAGCACTACTCAACGTTGAGGAATAATGGAGATTACTTAATTAAGATTAGTTGAAGATTAATTAAATAATTTAAAAACCGTCTAAATCTAAATAAAAGAGGTGTTAAAGAATAGTTAGATCAATAGGCTAATTAAATGAATAACTTGAATATTAGTTTTTAAATTTAAACATATATTTTTTGGAACCTGCTGATGGGTTTATTTGAAATATATATGTATATAGACATCAACTTACCGCTTGCCGGGATATCCCTCGGAGTACTTGTTGGTGAGGCAGGAGCTGAGGCTCTCCAGGACTGCCACCGAGGTGAAGTTCTCACTGGCGATCATCTCGAGTCCCTCGAGCTGGCGCTCCTTCTCCTTCTTGATCAGATCGGCCAACTCGGGATCACCCTCCTCCAGAGGAGTTTGCAGCAACTTCTGATCAGCCATATTCTGTTCGGGTATTGGGAATATTTAATATGTTTATAAAATGTATAGACTGGAGTGCAATGCGATGCGTTCGCTAGCACGATCGTTGGCTTTGTGTGGCCTATGGAAAACCGATCCCTGCCTGGTCAGCTATTCGCACCCATTCGATGATCCATCATGTTTTCATTTCATTTTGAAACAACAAAAATATTTATGTTCCCCAGAGGGAATTGCGAAAATCACAAACAAATATAGGTTCAATGGGTTCAAATAGCATTGGAAAAGTTCTGTTGATAAGGTGTCGGGGCGAAGCTATCGCCAAGCGGAGATTAGCCGTAGATGCACCATGGCAACCACTTGAGGTGGGCTTTCTTCGATTAGATTGCCGAATAAAAATAGGTGACATGGGTGATATAACAGCCATGACTTTGGGTCATCACTCTCTCTCAGTCTTGAAAAGTATACCCCCCATGGATGGGAGCGGAGCTATTTGAGTCCCGCTTATCTCGATCTGTATCTCTACGTCTATGTCGGTCCGTCTGGGTCGGGAGTTCAAGTCACTGGCCGATAAGGACACTGCGGGCCCCCTTCGATGCTGACGTACTTCGGAAAGATCGGGAAACATGTAGTCCAAATGGGCACAAAGAGTGCGAAGTAAACATTCAAAGAAGGAAATTTAAACAGATTTGTAGAACCGTTCAAAATGTGAAATTACCAATTTCCAGAAACAAAATATAACGTTCTTCTCATTGTTAATCTAAATGAATAAAATTAAAAAATGTTTGATCAGAAACCCTATAAAAACGAAAAGTTAACTAACAAGAACTTGAATAACACATAAGTTTTTACAAGTGGATTTTTCTTTAATAATATTGCCTATTAGTTTTTTTTCTGACATGGTAGTTAGTCAAAGTTTTTTGGATAAATTTACAAGGCAATAAAGTACAATATTTAAATAAACCTTGCAACTTTAGTTGCTGATATAATTTCACAAAAATTCTCACTAGATTTTATTCACAATCACTAGAAGATTTTAAACCATAAATTCCGTTTTTCACGGTGAAAATGAATTGCAAACACAAAACATCTGCCTTTAAAAAATTGCTGAAGCTGTAACTGGAAACTGGTAAAATCCCCGTAAATTGAATGCTAATTACTGGCCACGAAAATGCAAATTATTTGCATTATATCCAAACACATATTTCCATTAACGATGGAAATTCGATTTAATGGCCAGTGCCAGACTTTTTTAAAGCGATATCAGTTTTATGTGTGTAAACAAGTGCAAAAGAGAATAACAAAAACAATTCTTGATAGGGTCGAAAACCAAAGAAATTCGAGTAGGCCTAAAAACGAGTTTAAGGTTGAGATACCAATAAATTATTGAGCTTAGCAAATCTAACTTTCAAATACCATATCTAAAGTTTGAAATATTGTTTGTAAAACATATAACATGTATATTTTAACAATGTTTGTATAATATGTAACATTTATAAAACGATCATGGATTAAACTACGAACTTTGATTTCTAAGTCCCCAGAAATTTTTATAAAAACCGAGGGTATAATTTATATATTTTCGAATAACCAAATGATCTTCGTTATGTATAGATCAATAGATCTCAAGGTTTTATATGAGATATAATAATAAAAACTAATGAATCGGCACGGTTTTGTCAAATAAAATAAAGTTATAACCAAGTTCTAATTTTTTAAGGGGTGGAAGATACATTCGTACATATGTATGTACATAAGTAAACACATGGTCTGCAAGAAACCGAAGCACATGGCAGAAAAACCGGGTAAACAAACCCCCATTGAAGCCTGAAGAACTATTTAAAACGTTGATCACTGGGGAAAACACTGCATGTACGTCTTAATTTGCTCAATTTAACGCGAATTTTTCTATTTTTATTTCTTAAGTGACTTTTTCGCAGCACACTCACCTTCAAAGTGCTCTGTTTGCGGTCCGAATATCGTCTGATGATCGGCGAGAATAATGTTAGTGGCGGTAGCGTCTGATTTTTGGCGGCGAAGCGAGTTGAAGCTCCGCTCAGCTTTTTAACCGGGTTGCTAACTCCGGTGTTGAGGTCCCAACTAAAGCAAAACCGAAGCTTTTGTGGCAGTGTAGAGCGCGCCTGCTGCATGGCTTTGAGGTCTGAAAAATCATATAAGTTAAATGGTAATTTTTTCGAATTTTTTTTTTTTCACATTTTATTTTAAACTTTTTTCGCCCCCTTTTAACACTTACATGGCTGCGTTCGAATCGGAACTGCCGCAAAAAAACAAGCATCGCCGCCGATGAGAGAACGCCTGGCTTATCAAGCCCTCGATAACCCCTGACCCCTAACCTATTGATAAGGCCAAACAAGAGTTCCACTGCCTATTATCGTTATCTCTTGACCAGCATCCGAAATTTGGATTTTTAATTTACAAATAAACAACGCACGCGTAACGAAGTAAACAAAATTTATTTGGTTATATCAGCTGTTCGAGTGGTCGAGCCGGATTGGTCTGATTAAAAGCTTTCGTGGCAGTCTGGCAACACAATAAATTAACAGCTTTTTTTTTAAATAATTTGTATCTTTAAAATTTTTTTTAAAAATATATTTGAGAGTAAAAACTGTTCTTTTAACTTGTTTTTTTTTTTGGTTTGTTAAAATTTTTTGGATAGATTTATAACTATTTTTAAATATATATCTAAAATTCCGAAAAGTTCCTTTGCAAAAAGGTGACCTCGACTGATCAAAAAACAACTAAACCTATTGAAAACGGATTTTGTAGAGGAATACTCCAAAAGTTATTGAGGATTACTCTGCGTTCAAATAGTGGTTTTGGTTCATTTTTAACTGTTATTGTGATGTAAGCCCTCTAAAAGTTTATGAAAAACTAATTATTATTATTATAAAAGTTGAATAACATTTTAAATTAATTGAAAATGGTGGTATTTTTTATCGCAATCGGCGCGGTCACACTATTGACAACGAAAGTCTATATAAGCAACCCGCAAAGCTCAGTCTTTTTCACTCGAAAATTCGTCACTTCGCGGTGTGTTGGCCGGAAAATAAAAATATCTCCGAAAACTGACAACAAAAACATAAACAAAACATTCTAAAGTATTCCAAAGCGAAAAACACTTTAATTTTTTTGTGGTTTTCTGCTATTTAAATGCCTCTTTAATGACAATTTCGTGGCTTGTGTTAAATAATTGTAAACTTTTGAGTGTTTACCGTTAGAAAAAAAGCGCGCAATTTGAATTTTTTAGAAAATTTTGTGTTGTTTTTTAATGTTACACAAAGATAAAATAAAAATGGCAAGCCAGAAAATGTATGAATGAATGAATTTTTTTCGCCAAAATCTGCTGCGTGTGCAATTCAATTCGAAAAACAAAACACAAAAAATAAAAGAAAAGATACCGCGAAAAGTCATAAAGAAAAGGTGAGAAAACAAATTATTTATTTCATGTGCTAAAAAGACACGCAAAACGAACGTCGTTTTATTTTTAGCCAAACAAAAGTTGTGTGTTATTTGTGTGATTTTTTATTGTTTTTGTTGCCGTTGGTCGCCGCTCTCCCCTTTTTTAATAATATATTTTGTGTTTCTTTTTTTTTGCATGTTTTGTTTTGTGCGTGTTTTTTGTTAAAAAAAAAGGCGAACAAAATATTACGATAAAAATTCCGTTGTTCTCGTCGAAGGTTTCCGGGTTTGTTGACTTTGCCAGCTGAATATTCGAAATTGACATAAATAATAATCATATGCAATTATTGTAAACAATTGTTTTTCACCCAGGAAACGATTGCCATTTTTTCTTCATTTATTGTAATTTTTTGCCAACTAATTGCCAAGATAAAGCAAACAAAAAATTAAAAAGAAAAAAAAGCGTATGGAGCTGCAAAAAATTAATTAAATTCATAGGCCAGTAATTTACATTTTTTGTCTACACCTTTTTGTTTTTCTGTCTAAGGTTGATAATTAAGTTTTTTTGCGGCTTATGGAAAAACGACACAAATTTCCCCGCGCATTCAATTGTTGTTAATCCCCTACAGTTGTGCCTAAAATATTAGTTGATGGTTCAAAAAAATAATATAAATAATATTTTAAAAAATTTATTTATATGTAGTTTTTTCTAATCTAAGTATTATGTCTTTACTTTTTTCCATTATTTTGACCAGCTCCGTATAGCTTAACTTTTTTTGGTTCGACTTTTGCGTTTTTTGTTTTATTGGTTGCGCTTGTTTGTATGGCTTTTCGTTTTTCTTCTTCCATTTTTTTGCCATATTTTTTGTTGTGGTTTTAAGTTAATTTTTCTTGGTTTTTTGTAATGTTTGTTTTTGTGTTTTTTTTTGTGAGAGAGGCATTTCCGCTTTTACGGCAAAAGCAATTTGCAATTTACTTTTCTCTCTCGTCTGTATTGCAATTCATTTTTACAGCTTTAATTATATGAACAAAAAACTAAAAGTAAAAAAACAAGCAACTATGAAAAACATGAACGGCAAAAATTAAAATTGCAAATCGCATTTGAGTGACGTCGCCGTCAACGTTTCTCTGGCCTTTTGTTTTTGTCGGCTGTTTTATTCGATTTTTTGTTTTCACAGCGGCATTCGCCTGCGCAAAAAACAGCGAATGAAGGGGGAGAAAGAGGGGGTGGAGAGGGAAGTGGGCGCGAAATCTGCGTGTGATTGTGTCAGGGGCGGATGCAACAATTTAGGGGCAGGGCCTCAATAAAAAAGAGGGTGTAGTTACCTCTAAATATGTTTTTTAATACAGAAAATATCAATACAAAATCTAAAGATAATTTATTTTAAATATTTTTGTGTCGATAATAAAAAATACCCCTTTTGCGCCAGTACCGCTCCTGGTTTCCTTGTGTTAGTATTTGTGTGCGTAAGTGCTCTCTCTCGCTCTCTCTTGGTCTCCACCTCTTCTCCATCTTCATCTGCCCCTCTTTTTCCCCCTCTCCTTCGCCCCACTCACACACATTTCAATTACATGTGAGCGCGTGCTCCAAATTTCAAGTTCATTGTCCAAAAACAAAACAAAACAAAGCGAAAACAAACAAAAACAAGGGCAGGTCAGCATCCATCGTTAGTGCCACGCCCCCTTACGTCCCTTAAAATCCGGAAGTATCCATATTATTTTAAAAACTTATGAATGGTTATACTACTTATAATGTTAACGAACACTGTATTAAAACATCGATATTACTCCTCTATTAGTTTTTACACGGACATATTTATGTGCATAACTCAAATGTTTAAAAACGGGTTCAAAAAGATGAAAAGTGCATTTTTTTAAAAGCAAATTATAAATGCCTGATATTCACGTAGATATCCATAAACCCTTATTTAAATACATACATTTTTCATAAGATCTTTTGAAACTAACTGAATAACAAGCGAAATATTTACATAAGTGGGTAAATAAATTAGGCAATATTTTCTATAATAAAACAAAATAGAAAAATGCAAAGTTAAAGTTAACTTTAACTTAAAAATACAAATGTTCAAAACTAATTAAAATGCCGATTTATCTCAAAATTGAAATTAATTTTTCAAACATTCTTTTTACAAAATAAAGAGTAATAAAAATCCGCTATGATAGATAGGGTATTCCCACATTCTTATCCCAATAAAGCTGGGAAGTAAAACAAATCACACCTATTTTTGTGTTATTCCGCAACCGAATAAAAAACAAAAACAGCAATCGGAAATGAAGCAAAAACGACACAAAATTTTGACACGAAATATTGTTTTTCGTGTCTGATTATTTTGTTATTGCGCTAACAGTTTGTTTTTATACTTTTGTCACACTAACTTTAGTTTAGTTTACTCTGCGTATGTATATGTTTTTGTTAGTGGGTAAATAATTTCGCTTCTTACGAAAATTTCCAGTGGTTTTTGTTTTGCCACTTTTATAAAAAACAAAATAATCATAATTTGCTGTGCGTAAATAGTGTTTTTACAAATGTCGACTCTCCGTTGTGTGCTTTCAAAATTCTTTAATTTATTCAATGCTTTGTTTATGGGAATGAAACAATTTCCTTGAACTTTTCACAAGGTTTTTCATTTCTATTTGCCTTTGTATTAAAAGGGATCACTTTTTTTTTGCTGCTTTTTCTTTTTTATTGAGCTTTTTTTCGCCTCATTCTCCTGATATCAGCTCATATTTATAATTAAAAACAAACAAACAAAAAAACTACTCTGCAGAGAGCAAATCAGAAAAACGAAAACAAAAATTAACAATGCCATAAATACATATATGTATATATATATATACATTTATTTATTGTGATGCATTTGTGTATGTGCGCGGGCCAAGACAGTAAGAATAAAATAAAAACTAACAAACACGTTAGGCAAATTTGACTGATAACTTCGAGAAGTGGTGAAAATACTGGGGCACTAAAGCAAAAAAAAAAGCTGAAATCAAAGCAATGGGGGAGAGATAAAAACTATTTCCGTCCCATAAAGCCAAAGCGAAACAATGGGAAATAATAAAGAAAAAAAAATAGAGAAAAATGCCCGAACCCCCCATTTAATCGCCCTTTGAAAGTTGAGAATTCTTTGGCTCCTAGTTTCTCTCTTTTATTTTTTTTTCATTTGTCCAAGGTTTTTAAATCAAATTATGTCGCGATCAAAAATTACAAAAAAGGCAACACAAATACGGCCTCTATTTTTATGCAATTAACCGCCTGAAAAAAAAGACCAAAAAAAAAAAAACATTTTCAAATAGGAAAGATAAAAAACAAACAAAATCACACGCACACTCCAAATGGGGAACAAAAGCGAACTCTACGAAAATCACCCAAAACCCCAAAAAACCAAAACACACACATTTATATGTACAAAATAATAGCAACAAAAAGTCGAATACGAATCGAAATTATGAATCACAAAACGTTTTTTGTGGTTTGCCTGTTTTTCGTTTTTATTGTTATTTCTTTTTTTTGTTAATACATTTTAATTCAATTTTGTTTCTTTCGCTTTTTTAATTTATCCGCTTCCGTGGCAATGTGGCATTTTATTTCTATTTAATTTGCAACAATATTTCAGCTTAAATTGTGTTACTGATTCAATTATATTTACTTTTAAATTAATTTAATTTATATACCCAACCACACTCACACTTTTTGCTGCATTTTATTTATTTTCGCTTTGTTTTTTTACTTTTTTTTTTTTTGCTAGAAACCTTGGCTGATAAGAGAGCTTTGCAAAAATGCATTGTGTAAATTTGATTTGGTTTTAGAGTGTTTTGCTGGAATGCAGGGAAATTAGAGTGGACCTCTAGGCAATTAAAAAGTTGTTATCAATGAAGTGCAAAACTAAAAAAAACATTTAATATTATTGTTATATATTAACTTTTGCCAAGGCAACACTGCGTATGAGTGATAAACGGAATATGCAACAAATATATTTGTTAGTTCACAAAAAGTTAATATTGCAATGGAAAGCACATAAAAAAAAACTAAATAAAAATAAGCAAATGTTGAGTGTTTCACTTAATCAGTAGTTATAAACATGTTGCATAATTTTTAATAATGAAACCCTGTATTAAAGATTAAAAGGCTGATTACCGGATTTATTTCTGTATCAGTAGCTTACGATTAATATATACATATAATATCAAAATATAAATAAAGTACATAAGTGAATACTTTTTTATACGATTTGTCCAAAGAATTATAAGTTTTAATCAAGTTCTTTGAACCGCAACAGGTTTAAAGTGTATCCCTTTGTACCCCCTTTTCCTTCGACCCCTTTTTCCCCGCCGACCGATGAGAACTTATGGAAATCTTTTTGTAAATTTCCACCCTTTTGTTCGCCAGCAGATTGGAATTCCATCTAACGAAACGAACTACAAATCATGCTCTAAAAAGGCACAAAAAAAGCTAAAGAATACAACAAAAAGTGATGGAGACAAAGGGAAAATACGAGTAAAAAACGAGAACAGTAGATCCAGAGAAAGGCAAGGAAAATATTAAAACAAGGCAAACATCGCCGGGCAAAATAAAGTCAAGCATTTAATTTATTTACCCCCAAAAACCTCCCCACTTCTCCACTAGAAAAGGAAAGGGAAAAAACGCTCGTTTTACTGTTGCTCGGTTTTTGCCTGTCCGCTTTTCCCCCATCTTACCCATTTTCCAACTCAATTTTTTTTGGCGCGCTTGGCAAAGGGAGGAAAAACTATAAGCTCAAAAAGAGGAAGAGAAGGGTGGGCAAAGAAAACTGTAACCGAATGAACGAGCGAACTTTTCCGGCGTTGGGGAAGGTAAGAAAGGTAAAAAAAAAAACGAACACGAGTTGTAGTAAAAACCTTCATTTATATTTTGCACAGAACAAAATTGTAAGTGGCGGCCAAGACTTTTGGTTATACTTATTTCTATACCCTTTCAAATGAGGTATAATATTTGTAATATAATGCTTCAATGAGGCATTCGG